GTTCCTGCCCTTTCCTAAGCTACCTCGTTCTCCTTGTCCTCTCTCCCCCGCCATTTCCCCCTCCCTCTACCCGCTTGCATCCTTTCCGCCTCTCCCTTCCGCCCCCCTCCCCCCACGTCCTTTTCCTTGCTTCTCACCCCCCTGTCGGCCGCCCTGCAGGAGCATGCTGATGGAGGAGTTGAGCAGCTTGGAGCTCGGAGACAAGTACGATTTCGTCTACCTCCCCATCGACAAGGGCACCCAGTGGAACGTGGATGGGCGGAGGGTGGGCATGATGTGGAGAAAAGGGGTGGAGAGGAAGAGAGGTGCGGAGCGGATAACGAATAGTTTAGTTTTCAAGTGGTGCATCTGAACAACATCTACTGAACTATAGACGTTGGTTCGGACAGGTCTGTGGCTGTCGGGGCTAATGCGGGGTGAGACTGGTATGGTCGATATACATATATATATATATGGGTCGGTAGACAAGGACGGTGAGGTATTTCATGGCAGGAAGATAGGTGTGTATGCTGTGAGGCGGGCATATCGGTGGTCATAGGGTGAACTCGTTCGGGCGATGGGTAGTAATGTTGGCACTTCGAACGGTCGATACATATTCGTGTAGCGGGGCTGGTCGACAAGTAGTCAGACCGATAGATGGTGTCACCGACAGGTAGCTAGCGACATTGCTGTATATATCTATACCCATTTATGGTATACGTGTACATCGGTCGAAGACGCCTACGGCGAATCACCGCCGCCCCCTGCCTTTTTGGAAGCGCCTATGTGGCCGAATGTTGAGGCCAGACCTGTCAAGCTATCGGACCATGTGTTCCCCGAATCGGTTCGGAAAGCCTTCGGGGAACACGTGGGCATCTTGAAGGTCATCTTGGCCGCCTGGAGGCCATTTTCACACTTTCGGGACTTCTTGGAGGACGTCTTGAAGGGCTGTTGGGTCGTCTTGGAGGCCATCTTGAGCGTCTTGGAGGCCTCTTGGGCCGTCATGGGGCCTCTTGGGGCCATCTTGGGCCTCTTGGGCGATCTTTGGGAGCACTTGGGCCGTCTCGGGCCGTCGGAAGGCCGAAACAAAGCAAACGCCACAATCCTTCAAACACTCATGGGACATCAAGGATTTTGTCCTTTTCGGGCCTTCCAGGAGGCCCTCTTGGAGGCCTCTTAGGCCGTCTTGGGCCATCTTAGTGCCATCTTCGGCCGTCTTGGTGGGCCCCTGGCCCGTCCGACGCCGTCGGAAGCCGTTTGGGGGGCCTCTCTGAGCCGATTTGGAGCCCTCCAGGGCCGTCTTGGAGGCCATCTTGGGCGTCTTGTAGGCCTCCTGGGCCGTCTTGGGGGCCTCTTGGGACCGTCTTGGGGGCCTCTTGGGCCGCTCTGGGGCCATCTTGGAGGCCTCTTGGGCAATCTTTGGGCGATCTTTGGGGGCTCTTGGGCCGTCTCGGGCCTTCGCACGGCCGAAAAGAAGCACATGTCAAATACTTTATTCACCTGCGGAATATTAGTGATTTGGGCCTTTTCGGGCCTTCCTGGAGGCCCTCTTGGAGGCCTTTTGGGCCTTCTTGGGCCAGCTTCGAGCCAACTTCGGCCATCTTGGTGGGTTCCTGGCCCGACTGACGCCGTCGGAAGCCGTTTGGGGGGCCTTTCTGGGTCGCCTTGGGGCCCTCTTGGGGTGCTCCAGGGCCGTCTTGGAGGCCATCATGTGCGTCTTGGAGGCCTCTTGACCCGTCTTTGGGGCTGTCTTGGGGCCGTCTTGGGGGCCTCTTGGGCCGTCATGGGGCCATCTTGGAGGCCTCATGGGCGATCATGGGGCGATCTTGGGCGCATCTTGGGCCGTCTTGAGCCGTCGGAAGGCCGAAAATAAGCATATGTCAACATACTTCAAAATCCCAGGGATAATCAATGAGTTTGGCCTCTTCGGGCCCTCCTTGAGGACCTCTTGGAGGCCTCTTGGGTCGTCTTGGGCCGTCTTGGAGGCTTCTCGGGCGAACGTGGAGGTATCTTGGACTCTCTTGGGCCGTCTTGGAGGCCGTCTTGGACCATCTTTGGCGGACTTGGAGGTCATCTTGGACCATCTTGGAGGCCACCTTGGGCCAACGTGGCCATCTTGGAGGCCATCTTGGGCCATCTTGAGCGAACAATTGGGGAACTGAGCTCCTTGAGAGCCGTTCCGGGTGGCCGGCGGGACGGGCAGAAGCCCCAGGGGGAGTTCTTTTGGAAAAGAACCCAAACCAAAACCGATGAGGTTCAGCACGCTAGGCACCCCTGCGATGAATCGACAGGGGGCGGCGGATCGAATGGCCTTCGGTCCATCCCGCCACCGTGCCTGGGTTGTGGGTATGAAGCCTATTGGATGTTGGGTGGGATCTCGTGGGAGGCCTCTCGGAGGCCTCGTGGAGGCAGTTGGGAGGCCTCTTGGGGGTCATTTCGGGGTCTCTCGTGGACTCTTTTGTGCCTCTTGGTGCCTCTTGGGGGCCTCTTGGGAGCCTCGTGGGGATTCCTGAGCACCTCGTGGGGCCTCCTGGGGGCCTCTTGGGGCGGAAGGCTCGGATTTTCGGTTCGTGCTCCCTCTCTTGAGGTCGTCTTGTGGCCTCTTGGGCCGTTTTGGGCACCTCTTGGGCTGTCTTGCTGCCTTTTTGGGCCGTTTTGGGGCCCTCTTGGAGGCCTCTTGCGCCGTCGTTGGGCGGTCTTGGGGACCTCTAGAGTCAGACTCAAGAGCCGTCTGGGACCGTCGGGGAGCCGCAAAGGCGAGAACTCCAAAACCCTCTTGGGGTCTTCTTGGGAGGCCTCGTGGAGGCCTCCTTGGGCGTCTTGGAGGCCTCTTGCTGGCGCGCGCTCGAGGTAGAGAAGGAAGGGTTCCCCTGGGCGTGAGCCAAGGCAAGCGACTCGAACAGGGTGATCGCGGCGCTCGAGCTCCTCGGCACGATCCTCTGCGCGCAGCTATTCGCGAAGCCTCTGGGGGCACAGCGGGATGACCTCGAGATGGGGAGGTCGGCGTGCGGCCTGTGGAACGCCTGCGTGGTGAACAGGGCCATGTCGACCAAGTGGCCTGCGACAGTCCTCCACGTCGGTCCTCCTGGCAGCGGGGCGCGGCCAGAGGGGCCGCGGGTGCGCGCACCTGACGTTGCGGTGAGAGGCCCGGGACGTCGTCGACGACGCCGCCCGGCCGGAGCTGGAGGTGGCGGCAGTGGCGCGCGGGGCCCCGTGCGACCTTTCAGGGAGGGCGCCCGGCGCGAGGTAATGGGGCCGCTCAAATCTCCCCGCGCCGTTGGGGGACCCCAGCAGGACTCCGCATTTCCTGCCTGGGAACCCTGCTGCCACCTCGGTGGGTGAGGGGAGGTCGGCTCTGCAGGGGCCCTCAGAGGGTTGGGAGAGGCCCCCGGGCATCCACCCCTTCCCCCTTGGCGGCCCACTCCCATCGCTGAAGGGGGGCATCGAATTCCTGGGAGCGGAACGGGCCCATGAGCAACAGGGCCCCCGTCTCCGCCGCCCGTAGACGAGGCGTGAGCGCGGCCCCTTGTTTTATACCACTCTCGCACCGCTGCTAGGGCCATTGAAGGACGCGCCCGGGTGTGATAACACGAAGGGGTCTCCTCTCAATCTGCTTGATGCCTGTGGCCGTTTGAACTTAGGCGCTCAGCCGACTTTGAACAACCCGCCCACCGCTCTTAGGCAGCAAGTTCTTGGGGGAGGCATTGGCCCCTGCGAAACGGGTTCCCCTTCTCCGGCACCCATAAGAGAGGCGCCCATGTCCTTCAGTTTGTTCTTGTTTGCTTACGCGGCAATTTGAGGATGCACGTACTTATTTGTGTACGAACACACACACATTTATATATATATTATATATATATATATATATATATATATATTTCTGTATCTATAAATGTATGGGTGCTTGTGTAGAAGTAGAGAGAGAGGGAGAGAACGACACGCACATACATATATATATATATATACACATACATATCATTATTATTTTTATTCGTATTATTATTAGTATTAGTATTATTATTTTTATTATTATTATTATTATCATTATTATAGATTTTTAGACCTAGAGGTCGACATGCGCATATATATATACACATAAAAGGAGGATATTTTGTATTCTATGTGTATGTATGTATTACGATAGCGACATGAAGGCATCTAATCATTTGTAGCACCTAGAAGAAGGGAGCGATACCGAGTGGTGTTACACGATAAAGCCATGTTCGAGCTAGTCACCGCTCGAAATGTTGATGGGAGGTGGGCTACGCGTTTGTGAACTTCGTAGATCCGGAGTCAGCATCGCGGTGCTTGCCCGACGCGCCCCCCCTGCAGGTGTCGTCGGCGCAGCTGCGGCTGCCGCATTGTATGCTATGTTGCATTGTTTGTTTTGTGCTCTACAATGCGCATGCTTTAGCTAGCACCCCGACGCAAGGCGCACTACGCCACGGCGCATCGTCAGGCACGGACCGTGTTGTCATGGCCTTGTCGCGGCAGTTTCCCGGTGGCCTTTCTCCCAGGACCGTTTGTTTCGGAGTGTCGACGCGGTAGCCGAAATATCAGAGAGTGTGTGTGTGTGTGTGCATTGTGGGTGTTCACATGGCTTACGCCATTCCGCTGACCCCAGGCCTCTTGCATGTTTGTTGGGATATCGTGGCGGCGTTTCGCGGGCCTCCTTGGAGGCGGTTTTGACGCCTCCAGGGAGCCGTTTGGGGGCGTCTTGGGGCCTTTAATTTGGCGTCTTGGGGTCCTCTGGCCTCTGGGGGCCTCCTGGGGGCCTCTTGGGGCGGAAGGCTCAAATTGTCGTTTCGCGTTCCCCCTCTTAGGGGCCATCTTGCGCGATCTTAGGCTTCTCTTGGGCCGTTCTGGGGCCCTCTTGGTCCGTCTTGGGGCCCTCATGTGGCATGTTTTGCCGTCTTGGGGTGGTCTTGGGAACCTATGGGGCCATTTTTTGAGCGTCGGCAGCCCGAACACGCGACAGCGCGACACACACACACCAACACACCAACACACCAACACACCAACACACCAACACACCAACACACCAACACACCAACACATCAACACACCAACACACCAACACACCAACACACCAACACACCAACACACCAACACACCAACACACCAACACACCAACACACCAACACACCAACACACCAACACACCAACACACCAACACACCAACACACCAACACACCAACACACCAACACACCAACACACCAACACACCAACACACCAACACACCAACACACCAACACACCAACACACCAACACACCAACACACCAACACACCAACACACCAACACACCAACACACCAACACACCAACACACCAACACACCAACACACCAACACACCAACACACCAACACACCAACACACCAACACACCAACACACCAACACACCAACACACCAACACACCAACACACCCACACCAACACACCAACACACCAACACACCAACACACCAACACACCAACACACCAACACACCAACACACCAACACACCAACACACCAACACACCAACACACCAACACACCAACACACCAACACACCAACACACCAACACACCAACACACCAACACACCAACACACCAACACGCCAACACACCAACACACCAACACACCAACACACCAACACACCAACACACCAACACACCAACACACCAACACACCAACACACCAACACACCAACACACCTACACACCAACACACCAACACACCAACACACCACACACCACACACCAACACACCACACACCGACACACCAACACACCACACACCAACACACCAACACACAATACCCAAGCACACCAGCACACCCCACACACCACACCACACACCACACACCAACACACAACACACCCAACACCAACCACCAACACTCCAACCGACCACACACCCACACACCCACACCCACATACCCACACACCAACACACCGACACACCAACACACCGACACACCAACACACCAACACACCAACACACCAACACACCAACACACCAACACACCAACACACCAACACACCAACACACCAACACACCAACACACCGACGCACCAACACACCAACACACCAACACACCAACACACCCACACACCCACACACCCACACACCCACACACCAGTACACCCACACACCCACACACCCACACACCAACACACCAACACACCAACACACCAGCACACCAACACACCAACACACCAACACACCAACACACCAACACACCAACACACCAACACACCAACACACCAACACACCACCACACCAACACACCAAGAACAACCACACACCAACACACCACAACACCAACACACCCACACCAACCACCAACACACACCACCCACACCACACACCACACACAACACACACACACAACACACACCCACAACACACAACACACAACACACAACACACAACACTCAACACACAACACACAACACACAACACACACCACACAACACACAACACACAACACACAACACACAACACACAACACACAACACACAGCACACAACACACAACACACACCACACAACACACAACACACACCACACACACACACACACACCCGCGCGCGCACACACAGAGAAAAACACACACACACACAGAGAAACAACACACAGACAATCAATGAGTTGTGCCTCTTTGGGCCTTTCTTGCGGGTCCTCTTGGAACGCTCTTGGGGCTTCTTTGGCGCCTTTTGGGCAGTCTCGGCCCTCTTGGACCCTCTTGGGCGCTTTCTGGGCCCCCCCTGGCTTCTGGGAGATTAGGGGCAGCTCAGGAACGCGCGCGAACGCCCAGGACATTTTATAATTAACGGTCGCAGCCTTTAGAATATTATAATCTCAGAGTCCTGAGGACATAGAGAAAAAAACTCCATTTCGCGCCTCGCGGCACGGTGGTGGATCTTGGGTCAGGAGCTTCCTGAATGAATCAGAGGGTCTCTTGGGATTCTGTCTAGGACCTCTTGGACAATTCTTGGGGGCATGTGGGAGGCTTTGTACGGGCGTCGGGGGAGTTTCCTTGGGGGCGTCTTGGAGGCCTTTTGGGGCCTCTTGGAGGGTACTTGGGGGCTTTGGGGGGCTCGAGGGGCCATCTTGGTGGAACATCAGCTCGTATGTCTCCCCTTGGGCTTTCTTGGGGCCCTCTTTGGGTCCTCCCAGGGGTTGCCTTGGGCCGTTTGGGGGGGACTTGGGGCTACCCCTAGGCCCTCCTGTGCCGTCTTCATGGCCTTCTTGGAGGCATCATGGGCCGTCTTGGGACGGTCTTGGGGGCCACTTGGGCCGTCGTGTTCGCTGTCGAAGCGTAAAATGCGAACGTGTTGGAAATGTACATTTTCCGCGGATGGGATGGTACGATTTTGGCCTCCTGGGCCCTCTCGGCGGTCCTCTGGAGGCGCTCTTGGGCTGTCTTGGGGGCCTCGTAGGCCATCTTGAAGCCATACTGGATCGTCGTGGGGTCGTCCTGACGCTCTCTTCGACTGCTTTGGCGCTCTGTCTGCGCCCTGTTGGGCTGTCTTGTCTTGGGGGTTTGGGGGGGCTCTGAGGCCCGGTGCGTTGCAGAATGGCATGTGGGACCCCAAGGGAGAGGGAAAGGGGGAGGGGGTCGAGTTCTTGTCTTCCTTCGTTTGCAGGGCATGGTTGCAAGCTGGATGGATCTGCGGGCCGATCCCCTCGCGACAGCTGGCCCCTCGCTTGCTGGGTACATCCTGATGCTGCTGCTGCTCCTGATCCCCCTGCTCTGTAGTCTTGCTTCGGTGGCCCATCCCAGAGTCATGTTCAAGACCTTGTAGGGTCCATTCAAAGTGTGTTCAGGTTCATTCACGGACGTCATGGTCCAGTTTGAGACTCGAGTGAGGAGATCTAGCTCCTCAGGCGTTTTGGTAGCGCCTGCTTTCAGAAACGCGCTGGAATTCGACGTCTGGCTCATGTTGACGGTATGGCGAGGGGGGACTGGCTGTGGCTAAGCTCACCTGGTTCAGCCGTCACAGCACAATGACGCGGAACCGCGTGTGTTGATTGTTGCCTTCGTGCCATTTCCGTGCATTAGCTGCCCCACTGCTTCTCGCAGCGAGGACTTTCGTCCCATGATGCCGCCTGGGGCAGGTGATCGCGGTCAGGCGAAATACTTCCCATGGGAGATACCAGGGCGTGGCCACGTCCGACGGCAACGCCAGTGACGCAACTTCAGACTGCGTTCCCGCCCAGACTGGTCCTCGGAGTGCGCGCCGCTTGCCTCGGGCAGGGCCTCCAACCCGCGCCGCCGCGCCGAGCTGCCGAGCCCCGGCCGAGCAGCGCGCGCGCGCGAGCGCCGCCGGCCGCGGAGCAGCGCGCCTCGGCGAGCGCCGCCGGCCGCGGGCTGTGCCCGCGGCGC